ATTTCCAGATGTTACGAACTAGCATCTCATGGTTACCTGTCACTTCTTTAGTCATTTCAGCAGTTTAGTGTTTAAGATGGTATTATCTAGGATTATTTTTAGTTACTGCTTAAGCTTAAAATTCTGGGGGCCTCGTGCCTTTATTTAGCTAAAGTGTTGTCTTACAGGTTTTGTAGGCTTATTGCATTAATTTATACCTAAACCTCACCTAGAAAATACCTAGACTTTTAGGCAACCATACTAATGGGAACTAGAAGTCTTTACTACAGTCTTTAATCTATATTATAGGAGTTACTTACATAAATAGTTTTAGATCACATATCTAAAACTCATGTATATTTTACCCTTGGAATACACAAACCTTTTAATTTTGAAATACATTTAATGCCTAGTGTTCATGTTCTTTTGAGCAGGTGCTACAGTTTATTCATGTTAAACAGTTTATAGTTTAATTTATTGTTCACCATTCTAGAGTTAGATGTTATCGTTCACTTTTTAGCTGTTCTCAGCACTTATCAGCTTGGATGTATTGCTCACTGGTTAGAGGCTACAGATGACCATACCAGATTTAGTAGTTTTCTCTAGGGATGTCAGTGTGTAGATGACTACACGATTAACCAATAAGCGTAAGCTTATCAGTTAATCCTGTCGACTACACGCATTCCCCTCCCCCAGCAGTCTCTGTATCAGAGGCAGCAAAGAGAGAGGAGGTGGGAGCCAGATTTTAAGTCGTTGGATTGGCCTGATCCTCCACCTCTACGCAGCTGTCTCTGATACAGAGACAACAGTGCGGAGGGTGAGATAGACAGGAGTCGATATCCATTTTCATCCCATCTTGCGTCACTTAGTGCATTATTCTGGGAGCCCACCTTGTCCGTGAATACAGAGGCAAAGAAAGCATTAAGTACTTCAGCTTTCCCCACATCGTCTGTCACTAGGTTTCCTCCTTCATCCACTAGGGGTGCACACCCTCTCTGATCACCTTCTTCTTGTTAACATACCTGTAGTAACTTTTCTTGTTATCCTTCACATCCTTAGCCAGTCACAATTCCAATTGCGCTTTCGCCTTCCTGATAATCCCCCCAGCGTTCTCGAGCTATACATTTAAACCCCTCCCTGGTCATTTGTTCAAGTTTCCACTTTTTGTAAGCTTCCTTTTTGTGCTTAAGTTCACCAAGGATTTCCCCTGTAAGCCAATCCGGTTTCCTACCATGTTTGCCTCTCTTGCTACGCGTCGGGATGGTTTCTTTCTGTGCCTTCAATGGGGCTTCTTTAAAATACTGCCAGCAGTCCTGGACTCCTTTCCCCTTCATGTTAGCATCCCAGGGGATTCTGCCCATCAGATCTCTGAAGGAGTCAAAATCTGCTTTTTTGAAGTCCAAGGTGTGTATTTTACTACTCTCTTTTCTTCCTTTGATCAGGATCCTAAAATCTACCATCTTATGGTCACTGCTTCCCAGGTTGTCACCCACCTCTACTTCCCCTATTAGTTCCTCCCTGTTTGTGAGCAGCAGGCCAAGCTGCACACGGCCCCTAGTCGGATCCTTCGACACTTGTGTCAAGAAATTATCCCCAACATTCTCCAAAAACTTTCTGGATTGCCTGTGTACTGCCACATTGGTTTTCCAACAGATGTCAGGGTGATTAAAGTCCCCCACGAGAACCAGGGCCTGCGATCTGGAAGCTTCTCTCAGTTGTCCAAAGAAAGCCTCATCTACCTCATCCACCTGATTCGGTGGCCTGTAGCAGACACCAACCACAACATCACTGCTGATGTTTGCTCCTTTAAACTTAACCCATAGACCGACTGCCTACCTCTGTGGCTGCAATGGCAGGCCAGGAACCTATTGGAACATTTCGGAGATCTTTTTTCCTCGCTATGGGGGGTCGAACCCATCTGGTGGCCCACACACTAGACACATATTTGCCCATCCAGTCCCAGTAGAATGACTTTCCCAACAGGTCTTTGATTCTCTTTACCCCAACATGGCCACTAGGGTGATCATGGGCTAAGCTCAGGAGCTTTTACCTGTACGTAGTTTGAACTACCAACTATCTCTGAGGACGCCAGTTCTCCTTGTGACCACCAGAAAAAGTGTCTTTGTATAAAAGTCCTCTTTCTACCACAAACCTGGACCGGTTAGAAGAGCCAAGAAGTGGTAGGTCGCTCCAGGTCACCATCCAAGCTCCTTTGAGTCTCTCATCTGCTTCATGCTCTGCCTGGTACTGCCCCCTTGATGCTAGAGATATCAGCTCCCTGTTAGGTTGAGACTTGGGCTTGGTTCCTATGGAAGCAATGCAGGAGAAACGGGTGTATCTGCTGGTTGTGAACCACTCTCAGCTGGTGCACTGGGTTGCGTTGCAGGCTCTAGCAGTGCCTCTTGTACAGATTCAGTTAATGATGCAGGCTCTGTGGTGCCCTCTGCTGCTTGTTCCTAGCATTGGCTGTTCCACCAGTTCCAGCTCTTGGGCTGGCTCCACCTGGATTCCAGGAACTGGATCCACTGCTATTATTGTAGATACTGGTCTGGGGTCCAGTTCCACCATCTCTGTTTGGGACCCCCGCCCCCCTTTGCTCCG